CCCCAAAACCCCAAAACCCCAAAACCCCAAAACCCCAGCTCTTCCTAGTTAAAGTGAAGCGACTCCTTTTGGGAAGAACAAGCATGGTTTTTGTAAGCTAGGTCAAGTTTTAGCATCAGATTTATACCGCTTAGCACTTCACATTGTTGATCTTCATGTGCAACTCGAATGGAGAGTAAATACTGAAGGTCACATCTGGGTTTTGGAGGAAATCTTCCTCGATTTGGTACTCAAATTTGAGCATGAAGTAGACAATAGCTACTTTGAGCTCAAGCATAGCTATATTGGTCAAAATTCTGTGACTTACCAAGTGATCTACCTGGGCAGGTTCTGCTACCAAAGGTAAATGGGATATAAGATAGTGGATGCCTGTTCTTTCCACTTGGAGTCTTGAAGTACTCACTAGTTGGGTCGAATCTTTCTGGGATGAAGTTCATAGGATCCTTCCATTGCTTAGGACTTACAAGTGATCCGATAACGTCAAATGCTAGGATCTCTCCCTTGGGGATCATGACATCCTTAATCTTCAAAGGTCTCAAGGTCTTGTAACCAAGAGATCTACTGGCAGATGGGTGGAGTCTTAATACCTATAGATACTCATAGTACTTAGTAATATGAAACAAAGTTTAATTTAATTTAAAAATTGGAAAACGTCATGAGCATACCTCTTTTATGAACATAGTTAAATATTCCATTTCATCGAGTTTCTCGTGGTTAAAATTCTGCAAGAAGTCATTTGGTGAAATCTTTCCACCCTCTAGGACAACAGTCTGAATCTCCTTTATTAGTTTAGTCATGACTTCTGGGTACTTTTTCAAACAGTAAACAGCTGATGTAAAAGACATGAAAGTGGTCTCGTGGCCTCCAATCAGAAGAGAGATACAATCAGACAAGATTTGCTCCTGAGGAGTGTCCTTTAGTTCATCAATGACTTGTGCATACACAGAATTCTTCTCAGTAGACTGAGCAATGAATTCGTTCAAGACTCTTCCAATTTCTTTGTTGTTGCGCTCATTTCTCCTGTTTTCTCTTCCAAGATTGTAATCAACAAGTTCAGGAAAAATTACGTTATAAAGAGCAAGTGACTCGGATTTCATGTCATCGCTCATGGTCATCATGCAGTCATAGAGCTTCATTTGTTTGATGGATCCATCCTTTGCTTCATAGTTACAGAGTCCCATCTGGTCAAGAACATTTTTTCCAAAAAGCAGACTTAGGATAAAACTGAACACTGACGTGTTAGCGACTTGGCTAAAACTAATTTCTTGTTGGTTTCCGATAACTCCAAAGTTATCATCAAGATGCTTGATGAATAGAGGGATGAACTTGGAAGCATGGTTGATACCAATGGTCTTCATAAGGACCTCTCTTCTCTTCTTCCAAGCCTCAGTACTTCTGACTTGTCCAAGGCCTCCAGTCGATCCAATTTTTCCAAACCCTGAGTTATCAATTGGTTCTCTGTCAACGTATTTTGGAATAAGTTTATTCAGCTCAGAGAGCCATTCAACATCTCTGAAATACAGAATGACCATATTTGGGATCTGGAAGAGATACAGAGGAGTAGCATCTTTCTGTAACATAAGATCTCTGACATAATGAGCTATGAACTTTCCCTTGTCTTGGTAATCATTAATGATACCCTTATAATCTCCTAAGAAGGGATAAAACCTTTCTGTCATCTGAATGGAGGATCCTAAAATGTAAAGCTAGTATTTTACCTTGTTTCTTGTAGTATCTTCTCTTTCTGTACGGCTTTAGCACGAATTTGGTAATCAGGTGGCATACCACCCCAAAAACACTAGACCAATCAATAAAAATCTAACTTACATGATGCAGAATACGGTAACTAGGCTAAATTGCATTTATATATTATTATTTTTCAGCAGTTCGCAACTTTTATGGGGTTTTGGGGTTTTGGGGTTTTGGGGTTTTGGGGTTTTGGGGTTTTGGGG